AGCAGTCAAGTACCTTATCCACTATGCCACCAGAGCTCCTTTATGTGTGTGTATGTTAGTGTGTATTCTTTCATTGGTAGGCGCAATGAAGAATCTAAAACAACAAACTGACACAATTTTACATTTACATACACATATCTACATACATAGGGTCTAAATTTAGAAGTCCTAAGTGGTGCAGTGCAGACAGTTTGTGCTTGATTACTAACCTGAAAGTTGGTGCTTTGAATCCACCCAGCATCACTGAGGAAGAAATGTGAAAAATTAAAGTTGAAATTAAAATTAAAGTACAGACTCCTTAACATGTCTATCAAGCTTGTATGAGTGGGCTCCACTCTACTTTTCCACTGTGGCTTCTCCTACTACACCACAGCCAACCAATCATCTTCCAATTTCTTAAACATACTATGTCCTCTCTTGCCTCTGCCTTCAAACATGTTTTCCTCACTGTATGAAATATTCCTCCCCACCTCCCTTTCCACATGGATAACTTATTCATTTTTAGGACCACAGCTTATTCCTCACTTCCTCTAGAAAGTTTCTTTGATCCTTCCCAGTCTCAGTGAGGAACCACCAATCCCTTATTTGTAACCTATAGTTTATCAGTATTTATTGCCCTGCACTATTCACTTTTTACTACCTACTACTGTACATTTAACTAGCTTGTATTTATTAGGCAGTGATGCAATAGGTAAGCATTCAGCTGCTAAATGAAAGGTAAGCTATTTGAACCTACTGGTGGCTTGGCAGTAGAAAAGAACTGGCTATCTGTTCCTGTAAAGATTATAGTTGTGGAAACCCTATGGGGCAGTTCTACTCTGTCACATGGGGTCACTGTGTGTTGGAATCAACTCAACAGCACACAACAATGTACCCATGTCTTACATGACAACATAAAATAGCATACTCACAAAATTCATGGAGGACAGGAAGCAAGAGAGGATATTAATATATTGAATATAGACATAGAGTCTAAATTTAACTTAAAGGCATTATTAACCAAATTCAGTAAGATAAAATGAAATATTAGGTGCTAAATAGTGATATAGCCATGGAAACCCAAGAAGGGGTTGCTATGAGTCGGATCCAACTCGATGGCAGTGAGTTTTTTTGGGTTTTAGTTAAACTAGAGCTAAGCGGAAAAATCAATTACATGAATAACAAACCAAACCCATGGCCGTCAGGTCAATTCCAACTCATAGTGACCCTATAGGACAGAGTAGAACTGCCCCAGTGAGTGTCCAAGGCTGTAATCTTTATGAAAACAGACTGTTTAATCTTACTCCCATTGATTGGTTGGTGAGTTCATACTGCCTACCTTTAGGTTAACAGCTGAGCACTTTAAACAATGGTGCCAGATGTGGCTAACTAGCACCACGAGTGAGTGATTTGTAGCATCTGAACTGAATTTTAATCCATTATAGGTAGTAATGATATCAGAATGTATTTTCAAGGGTTTGACTTACCAAATACTTAGTATAAGAGTATCCAAACCACTAATATCATCTTGGGATGAAATAATAAAAATTATACTACTTATTTTGAAAGAAGTGATGTGCTCATTGTTTTTTATTGGAACAACTACAACCTAGTAATGTACCTAATTCTGGGAAGTACATTTCAAGAGAAGTTGACAAAAGGAATGTATTCCAGAACAGAGTAATGAGTAAAAGCTTCTGAAATCATTTCTTAAAGAATAGTTGAGGAAATGGAGATTCTTTTACTTAGAGGAATCATGACAACAGCCTTTGAATATCTAAAGAGTTCCAGATGAAAAGAAGAGAAAATATATTCTGTATTTATCCAGAAGTCAGAACCAGGATCCGTCGATAGAAAAATTATAGAAACGCCAATGTCAATTCATTTTAAACAGATTTTTCAAATAATTAGCGTTGCTTGAAAATGGGACAGTTCTCCCTGTGAGGTACTGAGTTTTCTGTTCAGATGGAGGCTAGAATCTCAAGTACTAAAGCTTTCAAGGAGATATATCATGTAGCAGATAGAAGGTATACCAGATGGTCCAGACACATTATATTAGTATATTCCTTGCATTTTTGTTGTTGTTGTTATGTGCCATCAAATCGGACCCGACTCATAGCGACCCCTCCTTGGGTTTCTGAGGCAGTATCACTACAGAAGTAGATTGCCCCATCTTCCTTCTGAGGAGTGGCTGGTGGGTTTGAACCGCCAGCCTTCTGGTTAGCAGTCAAGTGCTTTAGACACTATGTTACCATTAGTGCTGATGAATGGAAAATTGATTGAATCTCTTTCGGAAGACCTACATTTTTCAGACTTTTTTAAAAAAAAAAAACTTTATTAAAAGACCTTGTGCTAAGAAAGAACACCATATGAGTTGATTACTAAGGTCTTTTTCATCTGTGATGTTTATGATTCTCCAGTCTTTCCTATGGTGGTTTAACACTGGGGACTGTGACCTTAATAAGGCCAGGGAACTTAGAAGAAAGGCAGTTTGGAAGAGAGAGCTAGAAAATTAAGCATATTCAGCCCACAGCATAATGGAAAGAAAGTGCCCTTCAGGGGGCCATGTGCTACGACAGGAATCTGAGATGAGGTAAAAATAAAACTGTAGCACACTTTTACTGTTTGCAGTAATGTTGCACTCAAAAGAACCCACTGAGCAGCACGCTATGTGCATATCCAGAGAGCTAGAAGGAAACCTATGGCCCCAGTAGGTATCAGACATAGTGTGACCCATTGCATCATTGTGTCACTTAATCTTATAGACAAAAGTTCTCAAGGTATTTGTATTGTCATTTAAAAACTGAGAAGACTCCAATTCTGAGAGATAACACCCCTTACATAAGTAACTATGACACCTGGATTCAAACTCAAAATTGCCTGAACTTTTAATTTATCAAGAGTGTTTCAGGGGCTTTTAGACTTTAGAACTTTAGAAAAAGCCTAACATCTCAGTTTTGTCTCTAGGGGTAAAAAAGAGGAGGGTGGAGCCAAGGGTACTAGGCATTCTACACAGAATTCCTGTGAAGAAGCAAAGGAAGTCATTGAAGTACTGCAGGGAGATACCTTAGAATGGGTACAGGCTCAGCAGCCTATACTTTCCACACACTGTTTACAACCATGAGAGCAAACCATGCAGCAGGCAGGTGGTGAAAAAGAGAGGGAAGGCAAGGGACCAGCATATCTCCACCCCAGCTTCCTCTCCCCTAGTACCCCTTTAGAACTTCAAACCAAGAAAAACCAAACTCATTGACATCAAGTCTATTTGACTCATAGAAACCCCTCCCTGGGTTTCCGAGGTAGTATCATTACCGAAGTAGATTGCCCAATCTTTCTTCTGAGGAGTGGCTGGTGGATTTGAACCACCAGCCTTCTGGTTAGCAGTCAAATGCCAAACACACACAGAAATCTGTTTTTAGACTAGATTTTCTAAAGTTCAGTAGCTGGGTAGTTAGAACTACCTTCACATTCAGTGATCTCAGATAGTCTCTATGCTAGTTTGTAAAATAAATGTTGTTGTTGTTATGTGCCATCAAGTCGGACCCGACCCATAGCGACCCCTCCTTGGGTTTCCGAGGTAGTATTACTACGGAAGTAGATTGCCCAACCTTCCTTCCGAAGAGTGGCTGGTGGGCTTGAACTGCCAGCCTTCTGGTTAGCAGTCAAGTGCCTTAGGCACTATGCTACCAGAGCTCCTAAAATAAATGTTAGCACTCACAATTTATGAATGAGAAAATGAGTTTAAATAACTTATCCAGGATTGTAATCTTTAGTAAAGCACACTGCCACAGCCACATCTTTCTTCTGCAGAGCAGCAGGTAGGCTCAAATCACTGACCTTTCCACTTAACAGCCATGCACCTAACCACTGCACCACTGGGCCTCTTTGTGTATAATTGACATATATACTCTTGATTCCAGAAATCAGAGGAAAACAATGTGGATTGTGGGGCCAAGCAAATTGAAGTGTAGATTGGTTTTGTAAATTGGTCATTTAGTAGGTAGGGAAACATGAGACTTTGCATCTGTAAAATGGAAACATAGAACACAGAATTGTTAGGGTCCTTTCTCCAGACCTATCCCCTTAGCTTCCTACCTTTGAGTGACCAGTTCTACTTTCAGAATTATAGAAAAGGGGATTGCTTGACCCTTGCTTAGTTAAGAAGAGAATTTTGGATTAATGCTCAACTTTCTGTTTAGAACAACCCTTTGAAACTTTGTCAGATATGATTCTTCTCTTTTAAAAGATAAGAAAATAACAGTGGAGATTTCCTAACTTATCCCTACACAGTGAGGCAGTGGTCACAATGGGAAACATCAGATATAAAGTAATCAACATAAGCCTAATAATCTAGAGAGAAGAACTTTAATCCTAGCTTTTCTGTGTCTAGATCTATAAGATGCTGCTGCTGTTGTTGTCATCTGCCATCAAGTTGGCCACCAACCCATTGTGATCCCATGAACAACAGAACAAAATGCTGCCAGTACTGCACCATCCTCATGGCCAGTTACAGATTGGATCATTGTGATCCATAGGGTTTTCATTGACTAATTTTCAGAAATAGATCACCAGGCCTTTTTTCCTAGACCATCTTAGTCAGGAAGCTCCACTGAAATCTGTTCAGCATCACAGCAATACACAAAACACAATTGACAGACAGATAGTGGCTGCACATGAAGTCCATTAGCCAGAAAACGAATTTGGGTCTCCTACATGGAAGGTGAGAAGTCTACTACCAAACCACCAATGTCCTTGATCTATAAGATAGACTTCATAAATATTGCTCCATCTCCTCAAGTTGAGTGCCCTGTGATCTGGAATGACATCACAGATGGAAAAAAGTCTGAGAGACTCCTATTCAAAAGCAATAATGTCACATGAGACTGACTCTCAAGTTGACTGATGATATCCTGTATAGAGTTATATTGCTGCCATATTTCTTCAATAAAAGTAATCTTGTTTTCTGAACTTGCATTTAATCAAATTTAACAGGTCCCCTCTATTGTTTTCTTTGTGCATAGACTATCTGAATGTCACAAGTGTTCACCTGTTCAAGGAGAAATGGGACACCAATAAGGTGGACCACCACACTGACAAGTATGAAAACAACAAGTTGATCGTACGTCGAGGACAGACTTTCTACATCCAGGTTGACTTCAATCGTCCATATGACCCCAGAAGGGATCTTTTCAGGGTGGAGTATGTCATTGGTGAGTACCACATGTGAACTGGAGTCATGGTACCATGGGTCATGTAGCAGAGAGGAGTGGGTATAGTTGCATTTGCATTATTTCTCAGAATTGTAGATTAACTTTGGCTGGAGCTGGTATTATAAAATGATCCCGTATCACTCTATGCTCTAAACTGAGTCTGTTTAATGCTAAAACATTAATCATTTGGGTCTACCCAGGCAAAAATCCAGTATAAATAAAAGTGAATGCAATTAGTACACACTCTTGGTGAAGTAAGTTATTTTCCCCCAAACTAATAGATTTGGCATCATATAGTTGTGACCTTTGATTTATCACCTCTGCCTCATGATGAGTGAATGAATGAGCCTCATGATTTAATCTCAGATAGTCTCTATGCTAGTCTGTAAAATAAACGTTAGTGTTCACAATTTATGAATGAAGAAATGAGTTTAAATAACTTGTCCAGGATTGTAATCTTTAGTAACGCACAATGCCAGGCTCATATGATGAAAATATTTGTAAGTTATAGCATGCTATCTCCATATGAGCATTTCCCAAACTTTGTTCTTCTCTAATCTAGTTCCATGAGATGCTCCATAAAAAATTAGTTGTCTAATAATTCAGTAAATAATTTGTACTCTACCTGCTCCTGACAATTCAAAATGTATGATAGATTTAAAGATTCTATTTAACTTTGTTTGGTCTTGTTATGTTGTTATGTGTCATCGAGTCAGCCCTGACTCATAGCGACCCCTCCTTGGGTTTCCAAGGCAGTATCACTACGGAAGTAGGATTGCCCAACCTTCCTTCCGAGGAGTGGCTGGTGGGTTTGAACCACCAGCCTACTGGTTAGCAGTCAAGTGCCTTAGCCACTACGCTACCAGAGCTCCCTTGTTTGGTCTAGTGTTTCTCAAATTCATGTGATTATGGAACCCTTTTATTAAGTTACAATGATTAATATTTGACACATTTAGGTAAACCTTCCTCAAGGAATTTACAAAAGTTGTAATTAAGCATACACAAAAAAGTAAGGGTGGTTCAATATCAGTAAGTCTGACCACAGAATTCCATACATGAATACATGGAGAAAAACTAGACAATAGTCACTAGAAAGGTACATGATAAAAGTCAACAGTCATTTAAGAAAAACAAAAATGGAAGAAAACTGTTCAATTATATAAAGATGATTCACCTCAAACTAATAGATTTTAGTATCCTAAGTGGTAAAATATTTCCAATCACCTCGTATGCAAGTGAGAGCTGGACAATGAATAAGGAAGACTGAAAAAGAGTTGATGCTTTTGAGTTGTGGTGCTGGCGAAAAATGCTGAAAGTACCATGCACTGCTAAAAGAACTAACAGATCTGTCCTGGAGGAAGTGCAGCCAGAATGCTCCTTGGAAGCAAGAATGGCCAGACTTTGTCTCACCTATTTTGGTCATGTTGTCAGAAGGGACCATTTCCTGGAGAAGGATGTCATGCTTGGTAGGGTGGAGGGTCGACGAAAGAGGGGGAAGCCTTCAACGAGATGGATTGACACAGTGGCTGCGATGATGGGCTCAAGTATAGCAGGGATTGTGGGGCTGGCGTGGGATCCGGCAGTGTTTCGTTCTGCTGTACATGGAGTCGCTATGAGTCGGAAACGACTCGACGGCACTTAACAACAACAACAAGTGGTAAAAAAGTTAATCATTTTAATAAAAATCAGAAATTATCCAGGAACATTTGCTATCATCATTCCTTTTCTTTTCTTTTTTAAAGCATTGAATTAAAGGCTTTAATAAATGAACAATATAAGATATGAGAGAAATAACTACTATCAAAACTTACTGCCATTGGGTCAATTCCAACTCATAGCAACCTCCACTGGGTCTCTGAAGCTATAAACCTCTACAGAAGTAGATTTCCCCATCTTCCTTCCACAGACCAGCTGGTGGGTTTGAACTGTTGCCCTTCTGGTTAGCAGCCAAATCCCTTCTCCACTATGCCACCAGAGCTCCTTAATAACTGCTCTAAACACTGGAAAATAAGAAGTAAAACTATATACAGCTGTGTTAGTCAAGGTTGCGTTTCAACTTGGCTGGGCCATGGTTCTGAGTGCTTGGCAGCCATATGCAGTTATTCCCCATGATGAGATTGTAATCACCTCCGTGGTGGAATCAGCTGTAAAGAGCTAAGTGGTTGCCTTCAAGGTATGGCCTGCTTCCAGTATATATGGAGAAACTTTGTGGAATGTCTCTAGCTTTTTGACAATTTTTGGACAACGAGTGGCCTGCTGTGTTGTCTGCTGATCTCGAGATTGTGCCTGGACTTGAACCAGTGGTCTGCAGTGTTTTCTGCTGCTCGCGGGATTGTGCCATTTTACCTTTCAATCTTGGGTTTGTCAGCTTCAGTAGTCAGCAGCTGCATTAGTCAGAAGAAGCTTTTAGCTTGCCCCAGTGGGCCTGGAACAAAAGGTAGAGCTCAAGACCAAGGTCAAGGAGCCTCCACCTGGTCCCTAGAGCTGGCACTCTGAACTCAGACTCCTAGCCTCCTAAGCTGTAAGAGAATAAATTCCTGTTTGTTAAAGTCATCCACTTGTGGTATTTCTGCTATAGAAGCACTGGTGGTGGTGTTGTTATTTGCCATCAAATCGGACCCGACTCACAGCGACCCCTCCTTGGGTTTCCGAGGCAGTATCACTACGGAAGTAGATTGCCCCATCTTCCTTCCAAGGAGTGACTAGAGAATCAAAACAAGAGCTATTTTGCTAATGCTGTGATTGTATATCTAGAAAACCCAACAGATTAAAGGAAAAAAGCACTACCTGTTAGCAACATTACCGCTCTGGTGGTGTAGTGCCTAAGACATTTGACTGCTAACCAGAAGGCTGGGGGTTCAAACTCACCAGATCTCCTTGGAAGGAAGGTTGGGCAATCTGCTTCCATAGTGATACTGCCTCGGAAACCCAAGGAGGGGTCAATATGAGTCAGATCTGACTCCACAGCAATGGTTCGTTTCTTTATTAGCAACATTAGTAGTTATCTAGTGCTGCTACAATAGAAATACTACAAATGATGCTTTAAGAAATACAAGTTTATTTTTTTTCACAATTTAAGAGGCTAGAAGTCTGAATTCAGGGTCTTGGGTCTCAGGGAAAGTCTTTTCTCTCAGCTCTGGAGAAAAGTCCTTGTCTCTTTGAGCTTTTGGTTTTGGTGATCTTCACGTGGCTTGGCATTTCTCTTCCCCACCTTTGCTTGCTCTATTGCTTTTCAAACTCCTTTATATCTCAAAAGAGATTGACTTAGAACACCCCTTACACTAATACTGCCTCATTAACAAAACAAAGAAAACACATTCCCAAATGGGACTATAACCAAAGGTATAACCAAAAACTCACTGCTGTCAATTCTCATTTATAGTGACCCTAGAGGACAGAGTAGAAATGCCTCACAGGATTTCCAAGGCTATACTGGCAGTCCTCAGATTACAAATGAATCCCATTCCTAAATTTGTCTTTAAGTCGAATTTGTATTTAAGTAGGAACTATTAAGTATGGTTACTATCTAATGTCAATCAAACATTTGTCTTGGTATATAGTATACAGTGTCAGTGGCATCATTACCAGAGATTGAGGGGTGTGGATCGTACCAGGTGACACTGTCAGAAGGGGTGACACCAAAATGATTGTCTATAAAATTTTTATGGAGTGTTTCAGCAGAAATTTTAGTAATATTTATAAAATTATCACTGTGATCAGCCCTGATGACACAGTGGTTAATATGTTCAGCTACTAACCAAAAAGTCAGGAACTGGAATCCACCAGCCATGCCAAAGGATAAAGATGTGGCCATCTGCTCTATAAACATATACAGCCTTGGAAACCTTGTAAGGTAGTTCTACACTGTCTTACAGGGTCATTGTGAGTCAGAATTGACTCTGTGGCAATGAGTTAGGTTTTGGGTGGGTAGTTAGTTATAACAACAAAATCATTTTTTGTAAGCCCAGTTTACATGTATCAGTATATCAACAAGGCTAAAACTCTATGCTAATTTACTTTTTGAACCTTCTAATGCACTCCAATTAGTTGTGCTGTTGTTAAGTGAGTCGAATCATCTCTGATTCATAGCGACCCTATATACAATAGAATGAAACACTGCCCGGTCCTGTGGCAGTCTCACAATCCTTGCTATACCTGAGCCCATTGTTGCAGCCGCTATATCAATCCATTTCATTGAGGAGCTTCCCCTTTTTCACTGACCCTCCATTGCACCAAGTATGATATCCTTCTCCAGGGAATAGTCCCTTCTGACAACATGACCAAAGTAGGTGAGATAAAGTCTGTCCATTCTTGCTTCCAAGGAGCATTCCAGCTGCATTTCTTCCAGGACACATTTGTTAGTTCTTCTGGCAGTCCATGGTACACTGCCTTTATTACCCAATTACAATGATATTTTGTATCACATGGTTTCATCTGCATGTGCTATTGATTTTGCTGCTGCTATTTTTATTTTTAAAAATATATTCAATTGAGTTTTGATGAAAGTTTACATGGCAAGTTAGGTTCTCATTTGACAATTTCCACATAAATTGTTCAGTGATATTACCCACTGCCATCAAATCATTCCAACTCATATAGATCCCCATTCAGTTTCCAAGGGAGTATATTGCCTTATCTTCCTTCAATGGAGTAGCTGGTGAATTTGAACCACTGACCTTCTGGTTAGGAGCCAAATGCCTTACCCATTTATCCCAATCTCTTAACATTATCTTTCATTGTATTCAGTTTGTTTCCTTTCTACTACTCTAGTTTCCCTGCCCCCTTATCTCCTCATCTTTGCTTTTGAGTAAGTGTTGACCTTTTGGTCTCATACTGATGATTTTTAAGTAGAGCAAAAATCTTTTTTTTTTTTTTTTTCTAATTGTGATTTGGGTGAAAGTTTACAGAGTAAATTCACTTTCCATACAGCAGTTCACATACACTTTATCTCATGACATTGACTACAATTTACCACAATGCAACAGCTCCCCTCCCACTTT